CGCAGGGATAAGATGTCGGGTGAGAACGGATACTTTAGCGGGAGGAAGTGGGGGCGATTAACGGGTCGGATCGAATTTGGAATTCTTTCGGATGCGGATTCATTTGAGCGTTCAGTAAGGGTTTGTTTGGATTGAGGGGAATAAGGGGGAAGGGAAATTAGGGGAACCATTCACCTCCATTCATCTTGTTTGGGAACATTTAGAAGGTGAAGTTATTCATCCTAGTTCTCTTTGGTTCACCCCCTAATAGTATAAAATTTATTACCCCCCAAATTGGGGTGTAACTAAGAGGAAGGGAACTCCATTCCCTTCCCTTCCCTTCTCTCACCTAGTTTCCCTTAACTTCCCTTCACCCCTTACAAATCCAAACAGGCTCTAAAAAAAACGAGGGGCCATCGCAGAGCTTTGGAATGAAAGCAACAATAGAAATTTCAATTATTTGAGCCCTACTTTCTCTCAAGTATATCAAAGATGCATTTCTAATATCATATGATGGTGCATCAATATCTCAGGAGTGGATAAAGGCAGAGTAGAGAGATCGATGCAACGGCTGGTTTATGGTCGAAAACTTTCAGATGATGATGGTACTGTTATGCCTTCTACTTTTGTGTGGCAGGAGGAGGACTCCGTGTTTGGGATGGTGACTTAGTTCTCGAGCTTCACGATTTTAGAGGACAGAGGTTGTTATTTGTTTAGCCTAGAAAGCTTTTGTTATTTTCGCCACAATGTAGCTCCTGTTTTTTTTTGGACAAATTTTCAAAACAAACTCTTTTGCAAATTTATTCCCAAAAAACAACTCATTTCTCTCTTATTTGTAAAAACCGACCTGGTTTCAGCCTCAGCGTTGAAACCATGTCGGTTTTTACAAAAAAAAGTTCCGAAACCTCACGGGAGTTGAACTCCCGTGAAGTTCAGCAGCTTAATTAAAAGCTGCCAACTTCACGGGAGTTCAACTCCCGTGAAGTTTCAGAACTTTTTTTTTTATAAAAACCGACTTGGTTTCAACGCTGAAGCTAAAACCAGGTCGGTTTTTACAAATAAGAGAGAAATGGGTTGTTTTTTAGGAATAAAATTGCATGAGGGATTGTTTTGAAAATTTATCCTTTTTTTTTATAGATTTTGATCGTGCCCCCTCCCCCTCCCCTCTTTTTTACTTTGCTATGATTCACTTTGTTTTGGGCAAAATGGCCAGATTGATATATTTTCTAGGGGCTTGGTGACAAGTTGGTATATTTTTTTAAAGTTTTGTCAGATTGGTATAAATTTTCAACTCCGGCGCCATATAGGCCTTAAGTTTGGCCGGAGTTACTGTTCCGACCAAATTTGATGGGATTTTTTGTAAAAAACCCCTCATCAAATACAATTTGGCCGGAGTTACTGTTCCGACCAAATTTGATGGGATTTTTTGTAAAAAACCCCTCATCAAATACAATTTTCTGTTCCTAACCCCCTCCTCCTCCTCATCTTCTTCAACCGGCGGAGGATGCGGTGAGGAAACAGTATACAGGGATGGTGACGATGCTGGATGTGCTTGTAAGAACCCAAACCAACAAATCAAGAGAAGGAAGAGGGAGAGGAGGATGCGCCAGAACTGAAACAGAGCAGGAGGAAGATGAGGAGAAGAGGAACATGCGCCTGGCTCCGCGATCATGCGCCAGAACTGAAACAGAGCAGGAGGAAGATGAGGAGAAGAGGAACATGCGCCTGGCTCCGCGATCAGAGGGTTCGAGCTCTCGTGGCCCACAAGCGCTGGCTAGTGGAGGTGCCCTACACAGCCACCCTCTCCCACACAATCAACATCCTCGTCTCCAACAACATCGTCACTGTGCCCGTTGCCGCTCCACTCAGCCACTGGATCGGCGCCGGTGGGTCGATGATACTGGAGTCCGACCGGGGCAGGATTTGGAGAAGAAGATGTCAATGCCGGTGTGGGAGGTGATTGGGCACTCTCCCGAAGGGCTCAACTTGTGGACTCTGCATTATTGTCGGACAAGGAAGCGTTGCTGGTGGGGGATTGACCCTTGACTGATGGGGGTTTGCGGAAGCCAAGAGGATTGTTTCGGCAGAAGCTGTGGACATATTTGGAGGTACATCAGTATGCGGGAGAAGAATGGGAGTTGATTGAGCGGCAAGACCCTGAGTAACAACGGAATAGGTCTCTTTGGCATTTCGTCGAACGGATTGTGAGCGATCTTGCAAGGCAGGATTCGGGCCTGAAGCTTGGGTCTGGTTGGTGTCCAAAGAGATTTTGGAGCATTCAACATTTGTGTGACCCTGCATGTGGCAACCTATACACAATTTGGGCACTCTCTCATAAACAATTGCTTGTTTAAAACCTTCAAACAAATCAACCCAAAATGAACTGCGGTCCAACCAGACCAAATCTCATCATCGTCGTCAGAAAAGAACGTATGCCACCACAACCTCTTCTTTCGGCGGGAGGTTCTGTCTTTGGCACTTGGAACCAAGCGGAGAACACGTCGCCTCCCCTCAGAAGCGGAAGAGATGCCCACCATGCAGGACCATAAAAGTGATGCTGCTACTCATTAAGAAGATGAGTGAGGGCCCACATATTCCTTTCTTTCAAGCTGCTGCAACTCCGGTCTCCACTGGTCCTAATGACGACGACGGCGACGATTTTAGCAATGCTGCAACTAGAAGCACTCTTAGAAGCACTCTAAGTGTTCCCCATTGGCGGTTGCCGTTGAAGTGTCATTGCCAGTGTTCCGCACCCAGCAGTTACTTAAGATGCGGACTACTTGATTGATTGCTCTCTAGCTAAATGTAGGATTTTGCTCGCACAATGAGCCGCCAAAACAAAACAAAAAGGCCTGAACCAGAAAACCTCAACTCTGCCCCCAAATCTCTGGTTTCGCACAATGAGGACGGGGATTGTGGAGCTCGGCAGGAAGAGAGCAGATGAAGGTTGGCCATGAGCGGGGCACTGTGACGGCGGCGATGCCGGCGTCGCCACTGTAGAAAAAAGAGGGGGACATGAGGAGGAGGGAGAGGGGGGTTAGGAGCATGAAATTGTATTTGATGAGGGTTTTTTTGCAAAAAATCCCATCAAATTTGGTCGGAACAGTAACTCCGGCCAAATTTAAGGCCTATATGGCGCCGGAGTCGAAAATTTATACCAATCTGACAAAACTAAAAGAAAATATACCAACATGTCACCAAGCCTCTAGAAAATATACCAATCTGGCCATTTTGCCCTTTGTTTTGTTAAAAATCTTATTAATAGAACATGGGGAGCGGTTGCTCATCGTTTCACTCAAATAAAAAACAAGAAAAGAGGGTTGCCATCTGCCTTTAGGAGGTCCGACATGGCAGATTTACATAGCAAATGAATTGTAGAGATGATAACTAGGGTATGAAGGGAAATGGACTACTCTGTCAGCATGATTGGTCTGCGCTCACAAACAAACATGTTAAAGGAGTCATACTAGGAACCCGGAGAAAGCCTCTCCGAAATATGTTTGGTAGAGTGTTTTTGGAAGAAAGGTGAGGTTACGTGAGGTGAGGTGAGATGAGAGAAAGTGAAATTTAAACAAGAAGTTGTAGAGACTGAAAAATCCCACGATTTTGAGGGACAAATTAGGTCAGATGAGAGAAAATAAAAATTAAACTAAAGTCATATACATGTTCTCGCTCCTCCTCCAACTTAACAATAAACACAAAAATTATATTCTTTCTTGCACCTCATTACATCTCATCTCATCTCACATTATCTTTCCTCCTACTTTCTACCAAACCACGTCTTAAGTATTATATTCGTACCATTTTTTTCTTTGGGATAGCGAATTTATTTGGTAATTGACAAGGGTGTGATGGGAGAAGGCATGACCCTGCCCTTTATGACTACAGAAAAGATGTATTTTCTTTATTGTAATGACGATGATGTGAGGGCGGTCATCCAGCAGATGTTATTTGTCTTGTCAAAATGTACAACATTCAGTGAGTTAATCGAGATGAAGGCACCACTTAGGCAAGTACCGGCAGACTCTAGGCCTAGAGATTCTATAGGTCCTTTGCGTTAACATTGCAGATAACAATGTAATTTGGGCTGGACTCTTTCTGAATTACACTGTCGAGTTAAAAAGGTTCAAGAGTCTAAATTGAATTTGGATTGAAAAAATATGATCTAACTTGACATGGCATTGGATTAAATCTTGGTATTTATAATCAACCTTGAATCTAAACCGAACACCTGTCATCCCCCGATCTAACTCACTCGTACCAGCACACTTAGAAGTTTTTGATGTACTTTCAATCTTTATTTATCATTTTTTTCTCTATAAATTTCATTAATAATTTTTTTTAAATTGTCATTGTAAGGTTCTTATCACAACAGAAAATCCGAAAATCTGAAATCCCCCATACTTATGATCTCGAGGGTGAATAGATAGGGATAATATTAAAATCTCAAAAATCTGAAATCCCCTATACTTCTCTAATATCCACCGTCCATTTCAACCCCTAAAATAATGGGCGGTGGATTTCACTTGCTATATAAGGGCCTGTTTGTTTGCACGAAAATAGTAAAGAAATAACTGAAGTAGAGGAAGTTTCTCCTACTTCAAGCAAAAAATTATGTTTGTTTCTTCGAAAAGACTACTTCAGCTACTTCCATAAATGCAGATGTGGCGTCTAGATGGCACTCCTACTTCCTAGATTTTTTCCATCCTTGAAAACTCAGAAGTAGAGGGGAAGTGGAGAAAAAGTAGGATCCACTTAAATTAGATATTTACCAAGGGTAGATAATCTTAAATGATGTATCCAATTTCTATCCAAACAAACAATAAATAAAAGAAGATGATGAAGTGCTATTTCCGCTACTTCTAAAAATATATGAAACAAACAAAATAAATATTATTTCTGCTACTTTCTACTTCATAATTGAGGAAGTTAAATCTTCGATCCACTTCTTATTTCTAATAGTTACGTCCATCCAAACGGGCCCTAAGTACAG